ACATTATAATGTATTGCTGGGACTTGTAGTACTGCATAGCTGGTGCTATTCTGCATTGCTGTATAATGATTATACAGCAATGCAGAATAGCACCAACTATGCAGGACTACAAGTCCCAGCAATACATTATATTATTAAGTAGGGATGCCCCAGTGCCAATACTGTTTTTTTTTTACATGTACTTGTGAAAATGCCCCATACTATGCGCAGGCAAAATTACCAGGGTTGCAGCAGTCGCATTTGCGACCGGGCCCTGGTGTTCGGCCAGTTGGGGGGAGCCCAGAGAGAAAGAAGAGGGCCCGCCACACGCAGCTGCTTCATGCTGCAAGTTTTTGACACTTGCAGACCGCAGTTCAGGCAGAGGGATTGTGAAGACGCTGCAGTGTGTGTGTGTGTGTGTGGGGGGTGTCAGTCAGGGAACTCAATTTGCATGCACTGCGGTGCCATTGACTTTAATGCACAGCCATGCCCCCTCCCACCCCAGAACGTAGTGAGCTGGCCAGGATGCGATTCAGTGTGTTCCAGCACTAAATTGGGCCGGATCACACTGGAGCTGGTCTGAACTAGCCCTGAAAGTCATAACATACAGTATTTTTCGCTCCATAAGATGCACTTTATTCCCCCCAAAAGGGGGGCAAAAATGTCTGTGCGTCTTATGGAGCGAATCCCTATCGCCCGACGCCCGGGACATGCAGTTTCGGGCGCCGGGCGAGTATTTTGTTTGTACATTCAGCCCTGCTCCGGACAAGCAGAGCTAAATGTACAGTGGGAGCCGCTGCTCATTTAATGCAAGTGATCTAATCAGCCGTGGTTTTCGGGGTCCCCCGGTCCTCTGGGGGAACCGTGATCACGACATATGAGCTCACCATGGAGCCCGTAGAGCAGATGAAGATCTGTGTGATCACTGAGACCGTGGCGCTGTAATCACAGCGCCACCTGTCTCAGCTGTCGCTAACTGCAGCTGTCACAGAACCCTACCCTCCCTGCATCCTATGGTCAGGTGCGCCTTATGGATCGCAAAATACGGTACATACTGTTTATTTAACCACTTGCTGACCGGGGTGTTTATACCCCCTTCCTGACCAGGCAATTTTTTCAGTATTCAGCGCTGCCGTACTTTGACTGACATTTATTCCGTCATGCAACGCTGTACTGAAATGAATTTTATACAATTTTTTGGGGACAGATAGAGCTTTCTTTTGGTGGTATTTAATAACCACTGCAGGTTTTATTTTTTTACTGTATAATAAAAAAAAGTAACGAAAATTTTGAAAAAAAAAACCTGTTTTCCCTACGTTATGTTATAAAGCATTTATTATTACCCAATATTTTGGTAAATTATAAAAGACGGGGTCACGTGGGGTAAATGGACACCAAACATGTCAAGCCTTTCTATCATCTCAAACCAGTCTGCCCATTCTCCCCTGACCTCTGACATCAACAAGGCATTTTCCTCCACACAACTGCGGCTCACTGGATATTTTATCTTTTCAGACAATTCTCTGTAAACCTAAGGCCTGGGCGTTTTTCAGTGCTGATCGAAGCACTGAAAAACGCTCTAGCAGTGAAATCCTATTAACTCCTATGGGCATGGTTCCCACCTGGGCATATTTCAGCGCGTTTTGACGCGCTGAAAAACGCCCTACGGCCGAAATAGTACAGGAGCTTCTTTGGGGCGGATTTCAGCACGTATCCACGAGTGTGGCTCGGGGTTAACAAAGCGGTAACCCCGAGCCACACTTGGGAATACAGCGTAGGTCCTACCTTGTCCGCGATCCCCGCTGTGTGCTCCGGCCGCTCCCGTCTTCTGGGTTCCGTCCCTTGCGAGCGTCCGCGTCGCAGGGGGGGCCGAACCGGCGGGAAGTAGAAAAAAAAAAGAGAAAGAAAAAAGAAAAAAAAAATCATACCGCCAGGGAGGTTAAAAAATGAGCGTCGAACGCGTGTTACATTGAACAAAAAAACGTGCTTAAAACAAGCATAAAATGCGCCTATTTGGAACGCCCAGGTGTGAACCCAGCCTTAGAGATGGTTGTGTGTGAAAATCCCAGTAGATCAGCAGTTTCTGAAATACTCAGACCAGCCCGTCTGGAACCAATAACCATGCCACGTTTAAAGTCACTGAAATGCCCTTCCTTCCCCCATTCCGATGCTCGGTTTGAACTTCAGCAAGTCGTCTTCACCATGTCTAGATAAATGCATTGAGTTGATGCCCTGTGATTGGCTGATTAGCAATTTGTGTTACCATGCAATTGAACAAGTGTACCTAATAAAGTGGCTGGTGAGTGTATATTACACACATCTGAGCAGTAACTACTTACCGTGACATATGCGCTGCCTTGGGGGCCCATTCACACCACCTCCAGACCAGATTGTTTTTGGACCTAAAATTAATCCCAATGTATCCCTATGCTATTCCTGGCCTGTGTTCATACCAGCGCAGTCCATTCCAGACCAGAAAAATACTGCATGTCTCATTTTGTCTGGTTTTGGAATGCACTGGAACTAGGGTTCCTACCTTTTCTTCCATAAAACCCGAACACTCTAGCGACACAGAGTTTTTTGGGGGAGAATGAGTTGCGGCTTATTCATATGTAAATAGCGCCACCCATATTTAAATATCACAGTCAAGACTATTTTCAGTGGGGGGGGGGCAGTGGGCCCTATCTTAATTTTGGTTGCCCCTGTCTGCTTGACATATTGGGTCCGGGTTCCAGCTGCCATGAAACCCAGACACAACATTTAAAACCCAGACTCTCTGGTTGAATCCTAGACAGGTGGCAACCCTAACTGGAACGCATTAAAGCTGCATGTGAATGCACTGGAACGCACCTGAAAGCCCATTTTAAGCTAAAAAGAAGAAAAAACAGCTCCAGAACACGGCAAAACACAATACACTGCATTCCAGATCTGGTCCGGAAAATGGTGTGAAGCTGCCCTGAATGCAGACAATATTTATCCATGCACTACATACATAGCTACCAGTTCTACTTGTATGTGCGATATACACGTGTACAGGGGTAGCGTCTGTCATTAGATTTGTACAGCAAGGCTGTGACTGCAAGCTGCACCTGTAACCCCAGGCAGAGAAATCCCCCCCCCCAATGTAGACTGTGTGGCCCTCCTGAGGACTCTATGACAAGAAGTGTGTTGCTGGCCGGGTAACCAGATTAAAATAAGGGAGGAATAAATATGAAATAAGAACACTAACACCGCCATTACATATAGAGACCATATTACATGTTTATTATTATACATTAATATAATCAGACGCTGCAGTAATAAATATGGCTGATTCTAGCAGACACAGTTCATCCATTATCACCCGCTTGCTCTTCTCATACTCACCTAGCTGAGCTCGGCTGCACTCGGCTATTTCCGGATTCCTTCGTCCTTCCCGCCGGAAGTAGTTCTTTCAACCTTCTTTCCTTCCGGAAGTTCTCCCTCTTCTTTTTTTTATTTTTTTTCTTTGCCGGAAGTCTCCCCTTTTCTTCTCCCCCTGACGGGCACCGGAAACACACTCGGCGCCCCGAGTTATTGTGCGCGGGAGAGGGCAAGATGGCGGCGAATATGTACCGGGTGGGCGGTGAGTATTGTCGGTGGATTAAGAAGGATTTTTGTGAATGGTGTGTGTAGAGGGGAGCGCTGCGGCGACCACTCTCCTTCCATTGTACGGGCCGGGCCGGCTCTCATATGAGGCGCTCACCATGGAGGGAACAAGGAGCGGGGGGACGGGCTTCAGGGCGCCCACCAATCTGCGCACCTTCTGAGGGACTACAAGTGCCAGTATGCCGGGCGTTCTTGGCACGTGCTGGCTAAGCCCGTCTTCCTCTATGGAGGCTCGCATAACCCCCCCCCCCCCTTTCCCGGTGTGGGAGATGTGACAGGCCCAGGCTCCTGTGTGTACAGGACAGAGTGGGCCGTATTCATCTGAGTGAACTGAGAAGTGTCGGTTCTGCCAGATCCTCACCGATAAGAACATTTGAACTCTGAATTCGGAGTCATTTCTATAGAGAAACAGAGTACAGGAGAGGAGCTCAGTATTTGTACACTTTTATGTCTGGGGTCATTATAATAACAATGGAGTCCAGACAATGGAGGAAAAGTACAGATGTTTGCTTATTATCACTAGATGGATTTATAGAACTGTAGGAAAAATAGATTTAAAGCTGAACTCTGGATGCAAAAACTTTCATTTAAACACATTCCTCGATAGCCACAGGATATAAATCCCATTTGTGCAGCAAACACTTTTGCAAACCCAGTTATTACCATTTATAAATGGCAGTGACATCATCGGTGTGTTGTACATAAACTGAGCAGAGCTGTGGGAGGAGCCAGAAGTTCCTCCCACTACAGGAGGGGGTGGCTATAAGACCAGTCACACTGCACAAGGAGCGAAGGCAACACTGGTCTTTATTGCAGGAAGCGTCTACTCAAAGGCAAAGTTTCACCCTGCATCTGGAAGAAACACACAAAGCACACCGAGTAGTGATTATTTTCAGAATTGATTAGTTGGGCGACTATTTCGATCAGATAAAAAAATGAAATACCATCCTTACTTTAAAATACACCAATACTGTTACAAGCATAAAGTTTACTTCAGAATAAAACTGCATGCACAATGTTTTGCAATCGTACTGCATTGGAATGCATGGCATTTGCGGTACTGTGGGATCAAGTGCGGGCAATCACCCTGTGGGTGGGAGGTGCGTTTGGGGTGGCATTGAAATGAATGGCACTGCAACGCACCTCCTGCAGCAGAATTTGTCAGGCCGAAACTGAAATTGATTTTTTTCCACCTTTTTTATCATTTTTTAAATTTTTTTTATAATTGTATTGTAAGCACATGGCACTTGAATAGGTTTAGCCAGGGAACGACCGAGGCCAGTGGCAAGATTCTGCAGATGGCAGCTGAATGTAACTACAGCAGGTAGTGGGCTGGCGCAATAGCCACCCTGCTATTGGCCATTTCAAATTGCAATAGCAGACTGGCTATTGCACCCGCCCACTGCTTGCTGTGCCCTCCTCCCAGCATGGAGGAGAGAACTAGGGGATCCAACCAACTAATCGATAATGAGAATCATTGACAACTATTCTCATTATTGGTTGGTTGCAGCTCCACTTGCATTCAAACAATATTTGTTCCAGAATTCAGCTCTCAAATCTGCTTGGTAGTAAATAGGGATGACCCGATACCGGTATTTCGGTATCGAGTACCGATATTTTTATTTTGGTACTCGCCAATATCGAGTACCGGAAGTCCCATTCAGGGACGTGTAATGACACGCCACCCGGCTTCCCGATTAGCAGTGAAGCTGTCCCCATGCTTCTCGTCACCTAGTCTGCTTTCTGGCCAATCAGGAAGCTGTGTAATGGTGTGGCGCCCGGCTTCCTGATTGGCCCGGGAAGCTGGCTCCATGCTCCCTTTTCACAAGTGACGAGAGAGCATGGAGCTGGCTTCCCGGCCAATCAGGAAGCCGGGCAGCGTATAATTACACGATGCCCAGCTTCCTGATACCGGAAGTATCGGACTAGGCTTTGGAGCAGTTGGGCAAGTACAGATACTCGGCACCGATACTAGTGTCGGTGCATCCCTAGTAGTAAGTAGGTATCCGTAGTGAGGTGCATTCTGCCTCACTGCCCATCCTCGACTATTCATAGTTTTATTGATGCCAGGAAGTGTGGCTTTCACTATACTTACAGCACTGCTACAGGAGAACTGTGACTCTCATACACAAAGTTCATACTCTTTAGCTCTCCTCTTGTCCATTCACAGACCACTTTGTATTTATTTAATGGGTTACAGAATATAGAGCGTTCCATGAATGGGGGATTGGTTGGAGTGAATAAACGGCACATAGCTCCAGTGTGGGAGTACATTTACTTGCTGTGCATTGTTGGTGACAGTGTTCTCTTTAAAGTGACCCTGTCACTGCACTACACACTAGGCAGCCTGTAAAAAGAGAGGTTAACTTACCTTTCCAGTGGGCTGCGTGTTGAAAAACTGTGGTACTAGGTGCTTCCTCCCGCCAGCTCACATGTCACTAGAGGATGTACAAGCCAGTGGAAGGAACCGCAGCATGCAGTGGGGGGTGATGACTATTCCATCCTCCAAGTGGCTAAGAAGCTGCAAAGCAGTGGCTTTTCAGTGCACGGGCTGTGGGAAAGGTAAGTATATTTCCTTGCACAGGTGCTTTGTGTGTAGAAATGGACCCATGGTGACAGGGTCACTTTAAAGAAGAAATCCTGTTAACCCTTGCAATGGGGCTACCCCCGCACTGCAAAGGTTAACTGCTGGTTTGTGTCTAAGTGCTTTAAAAAAAAAGATATACTTACCCAAACTACCGAGCCGACTCCCTGCTTCTCTGGTCACTGAAGCGTGCGTCCCCTCTGCTTAGACAGATGGAATGTGTCCTCATGTCTGTTCACTTGTATATGGCGTGATGACACAAGGATTCTTAAGCTGGCCATACACCTTACAATTATCTGCAGATTTTCTGTGGTCGGATGGGAAAGGTGTAACAGATTCCTTCATCTACACTTAACTGAGTGGATGGAGTAATCTCCACCTGGGCCAATCTGTTGCACTTTTTCCACCTGACCACAGAAAATCTGCTGATAATTGTAAGGTGTATGGGCAGCTTAACCAGTTGACATCCGCGGTGTTAAAACCCGCCCCTCAGCGGGGCGGGCTTCCGATGATCGCAAGTACGATCTGCCCGTCCAAGGTGGGTAGATCATACGGGCTTTTAATGAGCATACGACCATCGCAAGACAAAAGTCTTGCGATGGTCTTAAGGTGTATGGGCACCTTTAGACTGCTGTAGAGAAGGGGGGAGAGGCTCCAGGGACCGGCAAGGAACAAGCTGGGATGATCAGGTGAGTAGAACTGTTTATTGTAGCATGCAGAAAGAAATGAGCAGTTAACCCTTGCAGAGCCAGGGGTAGCCCCACTGCAGGGGTTAATAACTTTTTCCCCCTGAGTTCTTCTTTAAAATTACAGTATCAGATTGCTGTGTTTGATCTTGAAACAGTTGAGCAGGTGACTGCGCTGACCAGTGAGTTCCTGCCATTTGGGAGCGAAATTCAAAATACAAATGCAGGACTGCCCTGCTGTGTACGGATAGTGCATTTGTGGAGGTGAAGGAGTGTTGGCCCAAAGGTAAGTATAGCAAGGGGGGGGGGGCCTGATTGGAGATGCCATTTTCCTAAATTTACCTGGGAAAGTGGAATTACCCTTTAAGAAGCATTGGCTTCCAGCTCTTGGGATTTGTCCAGCTTTGACTTTGTGGTAGAAGTTTGTAAATGAAAGCTTCGATTAGGATTAAACATTCGGGCCCGCTATTGGGTTCATGCACATCACAATTCAGACGTCCTGCCGGGGTCAGCGGGTTTTGTTCTCCGATTACTTTTTTCACAGAACATTATTGGAAGCGCCGTTTAGATTTTCAGAGTCTGGCAAACAATAGGTGGAGTTTCTTCGGCAACAAACTACCACTTGTACTCGTCATTTTTCTTCACGGCCCGGCCCAGCCCCACTCCATTATCTGTCAGCTAGTTGGCTTCATGTGTATCTAGCAATGATTTTCTCTCTACTGGAAGGTGAAGAGCACAGAGGATGACCAGGCCTGCAGGTTCTCTATGTATCTCTCAGTCTGAGCAGCCTGCTTAGTAGTTTGTCCCTGCACATGTTATTTATTTTTTCCGATTTTGTGAGTCTGGGAGGTTTTGTCAGTTTGCTCATATAAGTGCATTGTATTTGTTTTGTTCAGAATTTCTGGATTGTTTAGGGATTTTTAGCCATAGTTATAGGTAATTATGTTTCCCAGGTGCTGGAAGTCAAATCGAGAGCCTTTTTGCTGTGCGTTTTTTTTTATGCATGTGTTTAATGGAACTTCAAACCTCTTTTCTACAGATCCCTTCTGCATTTTTTTAAGTCGCGCTACTCTAAAGGTGCCCATACACTGCACGATTATCGTACGATAATCGTATGCGATCGGTTTTTCATACGATAATCGAGCAGTGTGAACGGAGACGTGCGACCGTTTCTACTGTACGGTCGCACGTCTTCTGTCGAACCAGCATGTTCGAAAACCAGCCGGGAATCGTACGATTCTCGGCTGTTTAGAACGGTGCTCGGAAGATAAATGCTGAACGGGCCGGTGTGCGCACGCGCACACTGCCCGTTCAGCATTGCGGTCATCGGAATTCCAAGAATGTCCAAGATAGGCAGATCGTACGTTTTTTTAAATCCCTTTACAACCATCGCAAGACTAAAGTCTTGCGATGGTTGTAGAGTGTATGGCCACCTTAAAGCTGAACTGTGGGCAGATCTGTAGAGTAACTTAATAAAAGTTAATTTCTTACCTTTGCACAACATGATCATGATTTTTGTACAGTGGTATTCCCACGCTAAATGTGTAGGTATTGGGCTTAATTCCCCTACATTTCCTTTTCCTGTGACCAGTGGGCAATATGCTTGCTATTGATTGGCCACTGGTTGGATTTAATCCATTCTGTAGTTCCTAGTAATCCTAAGTGGTGACATAATTACATCCCCTCTTGCTCTAGTGGGCAGAGCTG